AGTAAGGCCAGGAGCCCCTAGTAGCGTCCTTGCTCCTAGTAGCGATGCCCTTTGCTCTTAGTAGCTTCTTGATCCCGTTTTTGTTTGACTTTAGCACTCTCATGCTCGCATGCCGCTCGCTTGCCGTTCGTGTGCCGCTCAGCCTCGAGGCCTTTGGAGTCGCGAATGAGTTCGCTTGAGCTCCAACTGGAGAACCAACCGCCCGGCGCCCAAGCGAGTTGGACCGGGGTTCGATTTGTGATTCTGCACATTCTGCACCCTAATTGAATCTGTTGGACACCGCTTGTTTTTTTCAATCAAATTGATATAGACTGAGAGTCTTCATTCTGCATGTCTTCCTGTGCACTCCTTTCTATTCCACGTCCAACAAGCAGGTCTTGGACCCAACTGCTCCTTACCATTCCTTGAAGACGTTTTCGCCAATGCTTTCTTTGAAGACGTTTTAACGATGTTGCTGAGGCCTGCGCCCGAGCCACGCTTGGCTGCCATGGAGCGCAAGTTGCGGGAGGGGCAGGACGGGAAACACAGGTGTTGTTGCACCGAAAGGTGTGCGGAATGGTGCACCTAGTAGCGAACATTGTTACTAGTAGTAAGAATGCTCCTAGTAGCGATGCCAGGAGCTCCTAGTGGCGCTTAAGGCATGCGCAAACAGAGGTTGTTGTCTGTCCGAGCTTCAGGAAGAGCACAGCCGTCAACTGCGAAGCTTTGAGGAGAAGGGGAGCTTTGCGAAGGCATAGAAAGGCTACAAACATAGAAAGGCATAGCAATCTTCAAATCTCCCAAGTGTAACAAGAAGCTACTAGGAACAAGTGCATCGCTACTAGTAACAAGTGCCTTACTAGTAGTAACAAGAAGCTACTAGTAACAAGTGCATCGCTACTAGTAACAAGTGCCTTACTAGTAGTAACAAGAAGCTATTAGAAACAAGAGGCAAACAAGACTGGCAGTGCATCACATCTGGAGGAGCGCTGTGAGTCGCTGGAGACTGCAGTCAATCGGGTCTCGTCCTCGTTGCCGCGGCTCTCCAGCGAGATCATGAGCCACTCGGCCAATTCTTCGACGATTCTTCCAATTCTTTTCTCACTCTTTCCTTTTGGGATTTCACAAAGAACATCAAAATGCATCAAAGAGCCCTTTTTAGCTACGCCCATTGCTAGCATTTGTGACCGCAGAGAAGACATATTGGGTCAGCAAAAGACGCCATGTCATCCTCTTTCACAGTGCCGCGATATCGAGAATTGTATCCACTTGTGTTTGAGAAACAAGTGCTTTTGCTCCCCAACAACCTTTGGTCCATTTGTGTCCTCGTGTCGTTGATGTGGTTTGGATTCTTTTGTATACGCCTACGCGCTGAGTAGATAGCTTGATGCAGCACCCGGCAACCTGCTTGCTTGACACCTTGCAACACCTTGCAACACCTTGCAACACCTTGCAACACCTTGCAAC